GGCGGGCGTCTTCCCCGCCCCGCCCGAGATCCCTGCCCGGCGCTTCGACCCTCCGCGCGCTGTGTGCTCGTGGGGGCGGCCTGCGGCGCCTTCCGGCCGCTCGGGGCCGGGCCGTCTTCGCGGAGAGCCCGCTGTTGTCTGCATCCCGGCGGTTCGCAGCCGCGCTTTTCCAAACTCCGGGTTCTCCCCGCCGCCTGCCTTTCTGCAGAGCCTTTGGAGCAGTCGGCGGGGCCGCCCGACTGACCTGGGTAGTGTGTAGACCTAAGGTTCGGCCGGTGCGCTTTGAGTTGTGTTACTGATACGTCAAGATGTTTTTCAGTGTCCTTAACGTTTTTGTTTTGTTGTGGCTTAGACCCCGTCCTCAGGTGTATGCGATGCAAACACAAATAACAGTGTTTACCTCTGCGTGGTAGTAGAAAGGTGACCAGACATCTGGGTTTCCCTAGGCTCCATTTTTTATTTCGTAACTTAAGATGACAGGATTTTTGGTAAATTACAACGAAATTTATAGGTGGATACCTTATACTGGCTGGCTAATGATTGTAACATGCAGTAAATCGGCATTGAAGACCGAGATACAGTGAATGTATTTACAGATCTCCCCTTGTGTATTTTAGGACCGCGTTAGTATTTATTTATTTATTTATTTATTTACCTTTTTAAGGTAGGTCTCTCTATACAGTTCAGGCTGGCCTTGAGCTCACTTTGTAGCCCAGGCTGGTCTCGAACTCGGTGATTCTCCTGCCTCAGCCTCCCGAGTGCTGGGATTACAGGCGTGCACCATCAAGCCCAGCTGAGCAATTTTGTAATATGCACCTTCTTAATATTAGGGGTATACCTGTACATTTGTGCAGTGTCTAGGCCACAGTGAAGAGGAAATGAGCAGGCAGTCTAATTTTTAATTCACTTTTCTAACTCTGTTCAGCTGAAACTTTTATACTTATATCCATCAATATTTTACCTCCTTACCATAGAGGAAAAGATGATAAGGGTAATAAATAATTATTAATTGAAGTTGAGAAAAGTGGGGAAATGTTGCTACTAAGGAAACTTCTATTAGCCATGTGGTGTCAGTTAAGCATAGGCATAATTGTAGACACGATAAAGAACTGGTATAATTTATGTTTAACTTAAATTCCACTATTTTAGTGGAATGAAAATGAAATTTTCTTTGCTGATAAATGGATGAATTTTTAGGTTAAACACCTATTTAGGTTATGTTTATATGCCTCATAAGATTTTACTTAGCTTTATAATTCCTTTACCATGTTGACAACTAATGCATCTCTGTCCAAACTCATTGTCAGTGTAACTAGGGGTTTGTGTGTGTATAATTTTAAATTTTAATTTAATTTAATTTTTAACATTTATTTGTTGAAACAGGATCTTGCTATGTAGTTCAGGCTGGTCTTGAACTCACTTTGTAGCACATGCTGGGCTCGAACTTGTGGCTGTCCTCCTGCCTCAGTCTCCTGAGTGCTGGGATTACAGGCATGCACATTACACCCTACTAGCTTTATGTATATTGATGTTAGTATTAGACCCTCAAACAACTATATTCAGTAGAATCCAGTCAGAAACCTCTTATATCAAAGTTAATGTATCCCATTTTAGGGTGAGGGCATAGTTTTCTTTAATACCTTTTGGGGCTGTGGGTACTGGGGATTGAACCCAGGGCATTATCACTGAGTTGTATTCGCAACTCTTGTTTCTTATTTTGAGACAGGGTCTTGGTAGGTTGCCCAGGTTGGGCTGAAACTTGCTCCTCCTACTTCAGCTGCCCATAGAGCTGGGATTATACGTGGGTACCACCACACCTGGCTTTCTAGCACCTGTTTTAAAATCTTTTTTCCAGTCCTGTTTTAAGTCATATTCCTTATTTTCAGCATCCATGCCTTGACCCACCTTGTGTAAATTACAACCACTAAAACAATACATACCTTATTGTTTGGGAATCTTCAGTAGCTCTGTAATATTTTTTTTTAGACCTTTTAAAAGTAGTTTTATATATATATATATATATATATATATTATATATATCACATAAAATTTACCACTTCAGTAATTTTTGTGTACTTTGTTTTTGGGGGGTTGGTTTGAAATAGGGTCTCACTATATAGTTGAGTCTTCCCTTTGTTGAACTGAATATGTAGCCCAGGCTGACCTCAACTTGCAGCACTCCTCCTGCCTCAGCCTCCCAAGTACTGGAACTGCAGGCATGTGCCACCACACCCAGACTTCTTGGTTTTGTTTTGAGACAGGGTTGTGTGATTCAGGGTGACTCTGAATTCATTGTGTAGTCCAGACTGGCCTCTAACTTGTGCCATCTTTCTACCTCATCTTCCCAAATACTGGGATGTGCATGCACCACTAGGTTTGGCTACCACTTAAGCAGTTTTTAGGCATACAAATCAGTGGTATTGAGTACCTTCACAATTTGTGCTATTACTATTGCTTCATCATCTCATAGAGAAATTCTTACTCATTGAATAGGAACTCCCCACCCTCACTTCTCCAGAGGGACAAAAGTGTGTACTTACTGAACACTACACAGCCTCACCTCTACCTGCCCACTCTCTTGGTAACCTTTTTTCTACTTTCTGTCTCTGGGAATTTGTCGTTTTGGAGATCTTACATGAGTGAAAGCACAGTAATATTTGTCCTTTTTTCTGACATATTTCATTTAGTGTATTTCGTGGTTAATCAGTGTAGTATGTATTAGAATTTATTCCTTTTTATGGCTGTATAAATACTGCATTATATGTGTATACATTCTTCTGTTGATGGACCCTGGGGTCATGTTCATCTTTAGTTGTGGTGATGCTACTGTGCTGTGGACATTGGTGTGCTAGGATCTCTTGTAGTCTGTTTTCAATTCAGTTTTCAGTACACACAGCCTTAAGTAATTTAACTGTGGCTCTGCATACAAACTAATTTAAGCCCTCAGGAAATTCACTCTGATAATCTTTTTCCTTCTACAAAATGGAAAAAATACCGTATCCTTTTCATGTGGTTTTAAGAATGAGAAATTATGTTTATGTGAAATCTATATTATGGTAATATTTTAAGAACAAATGTCTCCACATAGTTACTTCTTGAGTATGTCTACATACATTTTATTAGTTTTAAGGAATAGAGTTTTGTTGTTATGATATATAAATGACTGTTAAAAGAATATATATTTCTCCCTCATATATAGTATGGCTGAATTTTTTTTGAACTGGTGAATATATCACTTTTTTTTCACTTTTGTAGGCAGTATTTCCTGTCCAGTTTTCTTTCTTTTTTTGTGTGTGTGTATTTTTGAGACTGGGTTTTGCTGGCCTTCAGACTCACAGCGTTCCTCTTGCTTCAGCCTCCCACCTGCTGGGATTACAGGTGTGAGCCACATGCCTGGTTTTTCTTTTTGACTTTTTTTTTTCTGGTACCAGAGATCGAACTCAAGACCTTGCACTTGCCAGGCAGGAGCTTGTGCCACTGAGCTATATCTCCAGCCCAGCAGAGCTATATCCCCAGCCCCTTTTTGGTTTTTTGAATCAGGGTTTCACTGTGCAGTTCAGGCTGGTCCTGAACTGTCTTGTGTAGTCCTTGCTGGCCTCGAACTCACAGCAGTCCTCCTGCTTCAGCCCCATGTACTGGGATTACAGGCATGTGCTACCGTACACAATTTATGTATTCAATTTACTTAAGGCAGGTGTTACTTTGTAGCTAGGTATCATTGTTACCATGTAAGAAGGATATCAGAATATTGTGAAGATGTTAAGGTTACGGTAGCTTGTCCAAGTAGTACCTTGATTATGTATATGGTAAATTAATTACATATAGCTGATGACTGAAAGTACTTTAGGGAAATACAGAGGTTTATTGGATAGGCTGTAGGAACCAGGCAGATAATGTTAATAAGTGAATTGAGTAGTTTTATAACTAGGGCATGTTGAGACTTTGAATTAAACTTTTTTTGGAGACAGGGTCTCGCTGTATAGTTCAGGGTGGTCTTAAACTCACTATGTAGCCCAGGCTGGCCTCGAACAGTACTGATTCTTCTGACTCAGCCTTCTAAGTGCTGGGATTATAGGTGTGCGCCACCATACCTGGCTCGGATTAAACCTTTTATTTGAAGAAAAATAAACTTTTTATTAAAGTATACACAAAAATGTGCACAAATATGAAAGTGTATAGTTTGATAAATTTAGCAAATGATTATACCTGTTCAACCAAAATTTACATTGAGAAATAGGTTTTTTTTTCTTATTTTGAGACGGAGTAGTTCAGATTGGCCTTTTATTTATTTTATTTTCAGACTGGCCTTGAACTCACTATGTACCCTAGGTTAGCCTCAAACTTGGTATGAACCTCCTGCTTCAGCCTCAGGATGGTGTGTGCCATCACACCTGGCAAGAAATAGATCATTACAAGCACCCTAAGATCTGTACACCTTCCAGACCTGCCAACAGTCTCCTTCCTGTTACTCTTAGAATTTTTTTTTTTTTTTTTGGTCAGACGGGGTCTTACTATGTAGTCCAGGCTGGCCTTGAACTCAATATATAGCCTAAGCCTCAAACTTGGAATTCTCATTACAAGTACATAACTGTAATCCCAGCACTTGTGAGGCTGAGGCAGGAGGATGGCTTCAAGTTCAAGGCCAGCCTGCATTACATAGTAAGGTCAAGGTCAGTCGGAACTGCATAGCAAAATTTTGTCTCAAAAAACCAACCTTTCTCCCCAAAGCATATAGTTTTTTTTTTTTTTTT